AGCCAGGTCAGTTTTACCAGAATCACCCATGACACCTCAAGGTTCAGCCAGGACAGTTTTTACCAAGAAATCACCCATGACACCTCAAGGTTCAGCCAGGTCAATTTTACCAGAATCACCCATGACACCTCAAGGTTCAGCCAGGACAGCTTTACCAGAATCACCCATGACACCTCAAGGTGTCAGCCATGTCAGTTTTACCATAATCACCCATGACACCTCAAGGTTCAGCCAGGTCAATTTTACCGAAGAATAACCCATGACACCTCAAGGTTCAGCCAGGTCAATTTTACCAGAATCACCCATGACACACCTCAAGGGTTCAGCCAGGACAGCTTTTAAACAGAATCACCCATGACACCTCAAGGTTCAGCCAATGTCAGTTTTACTATAATCACCCATGACAACTCAAGGTTCAGCCATGTCAGTTTTACCAGAAACCTCAATGTAGAGCCAGGTCAGTTTTACCATAATCACCCATGACACCTCAAGGTTCAGCCAGGTTAGTTTTACCAGAATCACCCATGACACCTCAAGGTTCAGCCAGGACAGCTTTACAAGAATCACCCATAACACCTCAAGGTTAAGCCAGGTCAATTTTACCAGAATCACCCATGACACCTCAAGGTTAAGCCAGGTCAATTTTTACCAGAATCACCCATGACACCTCAAGGTTCAGCCAGGACAGCTTTACCAGAATCACCCATGGACACCTCAAAGGTTCAGCCAGGTCAAGTTTACCAGAATAACCCATGACACCTCAAGGTTCAGCCAGGACAGCTTTACCAGAATACACCCATGACACCTCAAATTTCAGCCAGGTCAGCTTTTACCAGAATCACCCATGACACATCAAGGTTCAGCCAAGGTCAAGTTTACCAAGAATCACCCATGACACCTCAAGGTTCAGCCAGGACAGCTTTACCAGAATCACCCATGACACCTCAAGGTTCAGCCAGGTCAGTTTTTACCAGAGTCACTCATGACACCCCAAGGTTCAGCCAGGTCAGTTTTACCAGAATCACCCATGACACCTCAAGGTTCAGCCAGGTCAGTTTTTACCAGAGTCACCATGACACCTCAAGGTTCAGCCAGGTCAGTTTTTACCAGAATCACCCATGAACACCTCAAGGTTCAGCTAGGTCAGCTTTACCAGAATCACCCATGACACCTCAAGGTTCAGCCAGGTCAGTTTTACCAGAAAATCACACATGACACCTCAAGATTCAGCCAGGTCAGCTTTACCAGAATCACCCATGACACCTCAAGGTTCAGCCAGGACAGTTTGACCAGAATCACGCATGACACCTCAAGGTTCAGCCATGTCAGTTTTACCAGATTAGCCAAGTCACCATGACACCTCAAGGTACAGCCAGGTCAGTTTTACCAGATTAGCCAGGTCACCATGACACCTCAAGGTACAGCCAGGTCAGCTTTACCAGAATCATGAAACCATGAAACCTTGCAGTGTGCAAGCCAGGCCAACCTTGGTGACCAGACATAACCATGCCACCTTACAGTGTACAACCAGATCAGCCTTGGTGACCAGATTTGCCCATGCCATCTATGACAATGGTAGCCAGGCCATCCCTGACCAGATTCTAAACTGTAGTCGACTCAATTTTATAATATTTTAGATACTGATACAACAATGGATTGTTCTAAATTCAAACAGTTCAAGCACTTATACAAATTTAGCTGTATTAGGGGGAAAGAAAAGAATATGAAGGAGGACATTCTACTTTTAGCTGTAAGTCATCAATGCACTCTATACTTCAAACAACCCTCAAGATGTCCTAAAGTACATTCCACTTATATTAAAGAAACCAGAGAAATCAATGTCCTTTAGAGCCTGTTAAAACAGTCAGTATTGTTCCAATTTGTTTCATGCAATTACACCACTTCTCATTGTGCATTGTTACAAGTGGGCAATACTAAGTATACAACACTTAGATTCTTATAAGATCAAAGTAAAGTAAAAATAGAAAATAACAATACAAAAGTATACACATCAAAAAGAGTTGTATAAGTCATGTAATGATAAACATGCTATTTTCCCCTTTAAAAACCTATTCCTCTTCATGTTCTTTAAGCCAGTAATTTCCCCTTAAAAATTTCCTCTTAATAATTTCCCATTACTAACCTCCTCTTGATAAATATAATTTCCTTTTGTAAATTTCCACATTATAATTCCTCTTTATACATTACTTTCTTATCAATTTCAACTTGCTTCCCTACTAAACTTCCCTTTTAATATTTCGCTTTTAAAAAATTCCTTCTCTATTAGTTCCATTTACTAAACTTCCTAAAAATGATTTTCTTATTATTTCCATTTACTAACTTCCATCTTATAATTTCCTTTTTATTATTTTCATTTACTAACTTCCTCCTAATAATTTCCTCTTTAATAAATAACTTCCAATTACTTATTTCTATCAGACTTTTTATAGTCAAGAATTTTTTCAATACCAGAACCCTTAGACTGAATAGCCATTGCTAAATAATATCTGGCCAATCTTATGCAGTAAAAACTAGAACTGCCACTATGATGGCGTGAATACCCCCGCATACCACTTTGTCAGAATCAACAGTGGCCATTTAGAGCTCAAGGACAACCTCCCTGCCAAATCTGAGGTTACTAAGCCAGTGCATTGCTAAGTTATGTATTCTACATGCTTCAAATGTGAAAATGTCAAAATCAATACATTGTGGACAGGACATTCTTTAGCAATGGGGGACATTAGTGATTAACCTCCCCTGAGTACTCCCTATAAATAGATAGGTCCTAAGCAATTGGATTACTCAGACTTTATCGCCTATTTCTTTGTAGCAAACTGAATTAATTAGGGCTAATTATTATCATTTGTAATATTCAGATTAAATATTGTGATAAGATGTAGAATATGTTGACATAAATGAAACATTTTTTTCTTATTGTTTACATATTTGTTGATGCATGTGGAAATAATTTATTAAAATATATCAACCTGTCTTACATAAAACTCAACGATAAAAGCAAAGGATTCCAAATATTTGGACCTACTTACATTTTGGTTAACCTCGGTTTTTATCAAGGGAAGATAATTCACTATTGTCCCTCATTGAGAAGAAAAGCTTTTTTTTGTCAAGGTCCCTGTGACCTTGACCTTTGACCCAGTGACCTCAAAATCAATAGGGGTCACCTTATAGTCATGACTAACCTCCATTCCAAATATGAAGACTGTGGGTCATAGGAATCTTAAGTTATTGGGCGGACAAGCTTTTTGAAGTCAAGGCCCCTGTGACCTTGACCTTTGACCTGGTGACCTCAAAATCAATAGGGGTCATCTACTTATCATGACTAACCTCCATGCCAAATATGAAGACTGTGGGTCAAAGGAATCTTAAGTTATAGGGCGGACAAGCTTTTTGAAGTCAAGGCCCCTGTGACCTTTGACCTGGTGACCTCAAAGTCAATAGGGGTCATTTACTTATCATGACTAGCTTCCATGCCAAATATGAAGACTGTGGGTCAAAGGAATCTTAAGTTTTTGGTCGGACAAGCTTTTTGAAGTCAAGGCCCCTGTGACCTTGACCTTTGACCTGGTGACCTCAAAGTCAATAGGGGTCATCTACTAATCATGACTAACCTCAATGCCAAATATGAAGACTATGGGTCAAAGGAATCTTAAGTTATTGGGCGGACAAGCTTTTTGAAGTCAAGGCCCCTGTGACCTTGGCCTTTGACCTGGTGACCTCAAAATCAAAAGGGGTCATCTACTAATCACGACTTACCTCCATGCCAAATATGAAGACTGTGGGTCAAAGGAATCTTAAGTTATTGGGCGGACAAGCTTTTTGAAGTCAAGGCCCCTGTGACCTTGACCTTTGACCTGGTGACCTCAAAGTCAATAGGGGTCATCTACTAATCATGACTAACCTCAATGCCAAATATGAAGACTATGGGTCAAAGGAATCTTAAGTTATTGGGCGGACAAGCTGTTTGAGGTCAAGGCCCCTGTGACCTTGACCTTTGACCTGGTAACCTCTCAAAATCAAAAAGGGTCATCTACTAATCACGACTTACCTCCATGCCAAATATGAAGACTGTGGGTCAAAGGAATCTTAAGTTATTGGGTGGACAAGCTTTTTGAAGTCAAGGCTCGTGACCTTGACCTTTGACCTGGTGACCTCAAAAATCAATAGGGGTCATCTACTAATGATGACTTACCTCCATGCCAAATATGAAGACTGTGGGTCAAAGGAATCTTAAGTTATTGGGGGGACAAGCTTTTTGAGGTCAAGGCCCCTGTGACCTTGACCTTTGACCTGGTAACCTCAAAATCAATAGGGGTCAGCTACTAATCATGACTAACCTCCATGCCAAATATGAAGACTAAGGGTCAAAGGAATCTTAAGTTATTGGGCGGACAAGAAAAAACCGATGGACGGCCGGACGTACGTACCAAAATTTGATGTTTATGAGGCAAAGGAGCTCATAAACACCACCTGGACCAACGTCCATAAGCAAAATAAGCTCATAAAAACAAAAAATAGCTCTTAATTTTAAATTTTATGAGTTTATGTTCTTTATTTAACTACGGAATGAAGCTCATAATAATCAAATGTTGGCTCGGCCGGACGGACGGCTGGACGGACAAGCTGATTCCAGTATACCCCCCTTACAACTTTGTTGTGCGGGGGTATAAAAATGCAACATAAAGAAAAATATGACTGTGCGGATAGGCCTAGTTAAGGCCTGTTTTTTTACCAATGTCATACCAAACATTTTCTTACATTTTGCACTCATAATATTTTACAATTTCTTTTGACACCAATGTCTGGTAGTATCCACTACTATTGCAGTGGCGGACATTTGCCCCTTCATATCTTTGGAAGGGGCAGACAAATGCCCATATAAAACAAATGAGGGGGCATGTCCGCCACCGCAAAGAAAGGGTTGCAAACGTCCAGGGGGAAAATGTCCTAGAATCTTAGAGAGGCTAAAAATTATCACCAACCTGTCCATCAATGTCCTCATTAAGAGCAAGACGTCCATCAAGAGTTATCACCCCTCCTTGTTCATCTATCATTACCAACATTGGTATACCTGTACAAAATAGATCAGAATATATACATGAGACATTTATACAAGGTGTTCCAGATACTGAAATTAAATGAACAGAAAAATTATCATCATCAACAAAGCCTGATGGTAAGACAGTGAGCTCGACTATTCTCAGTGCTTGATAGTAAAACAAGGGCCTTGTTATATTATAATGCAAAATTTTAGAGCCAAGATAATGTAAAATTTTTCAAAAAAGTTCAAAAAGGGCCAAAATTCTGTCAAAACCCATGTTAGAGCTATGGGCCTTGGATATTGGCATTCAATAATGCTTTCAAATAAGTGTGTGAAGTTTCAACCCATTCCCTTCAAAAGTTTTGGAGATACCAAAATTATATACCGGTAGCTCTCACTATTCTTTGAATAGTTGAGCTAAAAATGAGAAAAAAACATTTACAAGAGGTCACTGATCATAAGATAACTTTGTTTTCAACAATATTCAACATATAAATTCAAATCTAATTATGACTTCGAAATCTATCACATGATCTTTCTTGTATTTAATGTAAAAATAGTTTTATGTCTTTTCCTTACTGTCACCAGGTGTACAATGTAATATATAATATAAACATTTCCTACAAATGGTGACTGCAATCTTTCAATGTTTTCTTGCTTTTAAAATATCATGTGATAAAAAACATCTATATATTAAATGAAAACTTACATGACTATATAATAAATACATCATTTCTGATACAAAAAAAACAAGACGGCCATGATGGCCCTGAGGTCGCTCACCTGTATATAGGCCCCCCCACCCCCGGGCCAATTTTTACCCAAGGGCTTTTATTTGTTTATTTGAACAGACTTGGTAGACACCCATAAGAAGATGTTTCATGCTAAACATCTAAGTTCTAGCTCATTGGGTTTTTTAAAAGAAGATTTTTAAAGTTTTTACTATACACATATAGTTAAAAACAATGACACCCCTGGGGCAGGGCCAGTTTTGACCCCCGGGCTTTTATTTGAACAAACTTTGTAGATATTTACTTAAAGATGTTTCATGCTTAATATCTAAACTCTAGCTATTTGGGTTTTTTCAAAGAAGATTTTTAAGTTTTTGCTATAAACATATAAGGAAAATCAATGACTCCCCCCCCCCCAGGCGGGGCCAGTTTTGACCCCAGGGCTTTTATTTGAACATACTTGGTAGACACCCATTAGAACATGTTTCATGCTAAATATGTTAGCTCTAGCTCTTTGAGTTCTTTAAAAGAAGATTTTTTAAGTTTTTACTATATGCATATAGGGAAAATCAATGACCCCCTGGGGCGGGGCCAATTTTGACTCCAGGGCTTTTATTTGAACAAACTTGGTAGACACTCATTAGAAGATGTTTCATGCTAAATATCTTAGCTCTAGCTCTTTGGGTTCTTTAAAAGAAGAATTTTTAAGTTTTTACTATATGCATATAGGGAAAATATATGACCCCCTGGGGCGGGGTCAATTTTGACCCCAAGGCTTTTATTTGAACAAACTTGGTAGACATTCACTAGAAGATGTTTCATGCCAAATATCTAAGCTCTAGCTCTTATGGTTCTTTAAAAGAAGATTTTTTAAGTTTTTACTATATGCATATAGGGAAAATCAATGACCCCCCGGAGTGGGGCCAATTTTGACCACAGGGCTTTAATTTGAACAAACTTGGTAGACACTCACAAGAAGATGTTTCATGCTTAATATCTTAGCTCTAGCTCTTTGGGTTCTTTAAAAGAAGAATTTTTAAGTTTTTACTATATGCATATAGGGAAAATCAATGACCCCCTGGGGCGGGGCCAATTTTGACCCCAGGGCTTTTATTTGAACAAACTTGGTAGACATTCACTAGAAGAGGTTTCATGCTTAATATCTAAGCTCTAGCTCTTACGGTTCTTTAAAAGAAGATTTTTAAGTTTTTACTATATGCATATAGGGAAAATCAATGACCCCCCGGGGCGGGGCCAATTTTGACCCCAGGGCTTTTATTTGAACAAACTTGGTAGACACTCACTAGAAGATGTTTCATGCCAAATATCTTAGCTCTAGCTTATTGGGTTCTTTAAAAGAAGATTTTTTAAGTTTTTACTATATGCATATAGGGAAAATCAATGACCCCCTGGGGCGGGGCCAATTTTGACCCCAGGGCTTTTATTTGAACAAACTTGGTAGACACTCACTAGAAGATGTTTCATGCCAAATATCTAAGCTCTAGCTCTTAGGGTTGTTTAAAAGAAGATATTTAAAGATTTTTCTTTCGGTTGCCATGGCAACCAGAGTTCTGCATGGAATTAAATTCTTTGAACAATTTTTAAAGGTGACCACCAAAGGAACATTCCTGTGAAGTTTGGATGAAATTGGCTCAGTGGTTTATGAGGAGATGTCATTTAAAGCAAAAGTTTACGGACGGACGGATGGACGACGGATGGACGGACGGACGCCGGACGAAAAGCGATCACAAAAGCTCACCCTGTCACTTTGTGACAGGTGAGCTAAAAACAACTTTATATTTAATTTTGAAAAAGCTCATTCTTCATATAATTGAAAATCCTCTCTATAAAAAACCAAGAGCAACAAAAAATGACCTGTCTGCAGAGCATTGTTACATAGGAAAGGGGGCATAACTTCATTAAATTACCTTAGGATTAGGATTACCTGCCCTTTCAAAATGAGCAATGTTACATAGGAAAGGGGGCATAACTTCATAAAATTACCTTTGGATTAGGATTACCTGCCCTTTCAAAATGACATCCTTTCATGACAATAAAAATGTATACCAAGTTTGAAGTGAATAGTATTAATTTCTGAGAAAATGGACCTTATTGAAAAGCTTAACCAACGCTGACAACAATGCCAACAAGAGGTTCCTGACAAAAGCTCCATTTTTTTCTTTGACAAGTGGAGCTAATAATTCAATATGCATATTTAATGATTTTTACCTATATATTACAAACAGACCAGTCAGGAGTTTGTCCAATTCATTCATTCACTTTATTCTATAAATGGATCAAGAAACTAATTTTGTATAACTTTCAAGATCTGTTATCAAAGTTTGTTTTCATGCAGTCATGATTATAGAAAAATCCAACATAAAAACATACCCCCTAATGTTTTTCCAACCCTCCATAATAATCTCTCAGTTATTCTAATCCGAAATGATGGCTATTCCATAAGATAAAACTTGGCAATCAAGTATATCTATATAAATCAATTAATTAATCCAGTGGAATTTATAAAGTATCTAAAAACTATACAGCAAAAAAACATATTGATTGACATGAAGTAGCAAATATCTAGAATAGAAAAAAAAGAAGAGTAGCATTTGTTTATACCTAGATTCATACATTATCTCCTTAGTGCAGTAATGGGTTAACTCTTATCAAATTAATAAGAAGTTAACATGTTAATTTTATTTGTTAAAATTGGAGAAAAAAGAACAGTGGACATATCATCTTACAACTTTAACTTCCAACTCTCACCATATATGTGAGTTTATCAATTCAGTGACAAATATAAGGACATAACTAAAACAAGAGCTGTCGGTAGGACAGCACGCTCGACTATTCTAAGTGCTTGATAGTAAAAGAGCCTTTATAATGTTAAATTTTTTAAGTTCACAAAAGAGCTATTTTTTTTCATAAATTCATGTTATAGGCCTTAGAGAGAGTCTAATTATACAGTATTGTATCATTATTATGCTGCTGACCGTTCCAAGGCGGCGCCCCACTGTGTTCCTCAGATGTATGTCTATGTTGTTTCATACTGTTTTGGTGACACTTTTGCTTGTGTCCCTTGTTGTTTTCTCGTCTACGGTAAGTATCTTCCCCATTGCCTCTAGTTTTTATTTCTTTGATTAACCCCCCCCCCTTCCCCCGGTCTTCTGTCCCCTTCCCCTTTGTGGGCCTATTATTATTTTTCTTTGAATTCCTAATCAGTTACAAATTATTTATCATTTAATGATTAACGTGTCGTTGCCCTGTCCTTTTTATGTTTGGGGTCCGCCTGGGCTCCTTTTCCATTGGTTCTTGTTGCTGGGTCATATGGGGGTTGCGTTCATTGAACGCCGCCTTTCCTTGTTGATCTTGTTTTTCATATTTTGACTATTCGGAAGGTAATGTCACAAGGGTGTTTAATTGAGTAAAATAATACTAATTACCTATGAATACATAAATTTGACAGAAAAGGTACAAAGGCTTGTTATTAAGATGTTTTATCAAGTTAATCACTGCTTTATTATTATGAATGCATAAAATTGACCCAAAAAAGGTACAAACCCTTCAGTAGTTATTGAGATAACAGCTTACAAGCAAAACTTTACCATGAATTTTTAAGGTGAAAAAGGGGAGAAAAATCAGCCTAAATGCAAGATAGAATTATTGATCATTGTCAGTGACCTACAATTATGACCCTAAATGCATAATTATGTGAAGTTTTAAATAAATATCTTTAATAGTTATTGAGATATGTAAAACTATCATGTTAACATTAACAAAGAGACTAAGTAGAAAAGGGGATATGAATCAGCCTTAATGCAAGATAGAGTTATGGAACTTGGTCAGTGACATACAATTATGACCCTCCAATTATGACCCTAAGTGCATGTGTAAAGTTTCAAGTAAATATCTTTGAAGACCTTTAACCAAAATTTCTAAGTTTCAAAGGGGCAAATAATTCTGCAAATATTGCAGGCAGAGTTATGCAATTTTGCAAACTGATATATATTGTTACTATAAAAGAGTATTTTAAATTTCAATTGAATATCTCAAGCAATAATTAAGATATTTGACTTTACAAAGTTCCAAAGGGGTATAATTCTGTCAATATTGTAGGCAGAGTTATCCAACTTGTCAATCTTATGTACATTGTTACTATAAATAAGTATTGTAAGTTTCAATTGAATATCTCAAGCAATAATTGAGATATTTGACTTTACAAAAAACTTTAACCAAAATTTCTAAGTTAAAAAGGGGCATAATTCTGTCAATATTGTAGGCAGAGTTATCCAACTTGTCAATCTGATGTACCTTGTTACTATAAATAAGTATTGTAAGTTTCAATTGAATATCTCAAGCAATAACTGAGATATTTGACTTTACAAAAAACTTTAACCAAAATTTCTAAGTTAAAAAGGGGCGTAATTCTGTCAATATTGTAGGCAGTGTTATCCAACTTGTCAATCTGATGTACCTTGTTACTATAAATAAGTATTGTAAGTTTCAATTGAATATCTCAAGCAGTAATTGAGATATTTGACTTTACAAAAAACTTTAACCAACGCAGACGCCGACGCGGACGCTGACGCCGACGCCGGGGCGACTAGAATAGCTCTCATATTCTTCGAATAGTCGAGCTAAAAATTGAATAAAAAAAACTATTTTGATGGAAATTTCATTGATAAATCTAATTGCTTGAAAGAAAAGAAATTGTTCACATTTAATAACTTAGAGCATTGTAAAAGTGATGAAACCTTTAATTTATAAAAGTTGATTGATTCTTTTTTATTTTTTTTTACTCCGATGTTAGCACCTTTTTGGTGATTCACCTGACCAGCTTTCCTGGATAACTAACCAGTAATTATCTACTGTATGCAACTGACTGACTTCTAATATCACAAGATTTCTAAATCAGTGGTAAGAGACAAATTACCAATAGACTTAGCGTCCAAGATCAATTGTTGCCGAGAAATTTAGACCTAACCCTAGGATCAAACCAGCATCCCGTGGATTTCAAATCAGAAGCTCTCTCTTGACGAATCAATGTTTCAAATGCTCACTGTATGGTAACTTAAAACAAGAGCTGTCCGTAAGACAGCGCGCTCGACTTTTTTATTGCTTGCCAATAAAAAAAGTTTTTGCAGTAAAAGGCAATACAAGAATCTCTGTATTTTTAAAGTGAACTAGTTGTTTGATACCCTTGAATATTACAGCAATGTTTATATGACATAATTTATGGTAAAGTGAACAAGTGGATAGGAATGAATTTTTTTAGATTTTTTAAGTTTTTTAGTGCTTGCCTATAATACAAAACATTGACAGTTAAGGGCCATAATTCAAATAAAATCTTTGACAGAATTACCTTCTCCTGGACATGTTTGGGAATCATGATTGTAAACAAGTATTCCAACTTTCAAATTAATATCTCAAACAGTTCAGTCAAAAAGTGGACTGGTACTAAAAACTTAACCAAGATTCTAAGTCGATAAAAGGCCTTAATTTTTAAAAACAAATCCTTGACAGAGTTACCTTCTCTTGCGTACAGATGGGGGTAATGATGTGAAATAGCATTAAAAGTTTCAAAGCAATATCTCAAAGGGTTAAGGCAATAAGTGGATTTTACCCATATTCAATGTATTTTCTAAGTCAAAAAGGGGCATAATTCTGTCAAAAACCTTGACAGAGTTATGTCCTCTTGTCTGTTGATGAAGGTCGTGATGGTAAACAAGTATGGTCAGTTTCAAAGCAATACCTCCAATGGTTTTGAAATAAAGTGAGGTGGTACAAAAAACTTAACCAAGCTCAATACACTTTCTAAGTCAAAAAAGGGCCATAATTCTGTCAAAAACCTTGACAGAGTTATGTACTCTTGTCTGTAGATGGAGGTTATGATGGTGAACAAGTATGGTAAGTTTCAAAGCCATACTTGTAATACTTCTGAAATAAAGTGGGGTGGTACGAAAAACTTAACCAAGGTGTGACGCCAACGCCGACGCCGACGCCAACGCCGACGCCGACGCCGACGCCGGGGCGAGTAGGATAGCTCCCCTTTTCATAGAAAAGTCGAGCTAAAAATGTTCAAAATTTACAATATTTTTTTTTTCTCAGATAATGATACACATTTTCAAATGGTGTAACCTGTTTTTCATAAAAAGTCATAAATGAAAGTTTAAATGTGATTCACCTACTCTCATTGTCCCGCCCCCCTACCCTCCACGCAAGACTTTTACCACCAATTCTTTTGAATTCTTTCTGATCATTACAAAATGAGCCGCTTCACGATAAAACCAACATAGTGCGTTTGCGACCAGCATGGATCCAGACCAGCCTGCACGGTCTGATCAGGAACCATGCTGTTTGCTTACCAACTCTATTACAAGTGGAGAAACTGACAGCAAACAGCATGGATCCTGATCAGACTGCACGGATGTGCAGGCTGGTCTGGATCCATGCTGGTCGCAAACCCACTATGTTGGTTTTGTCGTGACGCGGCTCAAATTTGCTTACCTTCCACCTCATATAGATTTTTCAGCATCTGTGACCTTGGATCACCAAACGGCAAGGCCAACCATGGCATAGAGTTTGCAAAGCTTGTGAAGGAATCTTCTGATCGGTCAGATGACACAAATATCACCGCAAATTTCTTTCCATTGGCTTTCAATTTTTCATAAGTTCGGATCAGCTCTGGCGTAAATACTCGGCATGGTGGACACTGTAATAGAGAAAATTATTAAGTTACTACCCATCTTCCTTTGATTTTGCATGATGAACTTGTTTAAACAATAATTGTTTAATTTTGGGAATTTCAAGGATGAGCAATTGTAGATGATACATATATAAAGAGGAAGGAAATGTGGCTTAATGATGGTGGCATAGACCTATTATTATCCTATATAATGGTGGCATACTATTATCCTATATAATGGTGGCATACTCAGCTGACCTGCTATTAACCTTTATAATGGTGGCATACCTTCAAATATCCTATATAATGGTGGCATAGTCCTACTATCCTATATTATTGTGGCATACCTTATAATATCCTATATAATGGTGACATAGACCTTCTATTATACTATACAAGTGTGGCCTATTCCTTCTATTGTCCTATAAAATGGTGGCATAGACCTTCTATTATTCTACATAAAGATCACATAGGCATATAAATATATACATGGCATAAGTTTTTCATAATCTCTTCATATCTGTACAAGTTAATACTACAATGAAACACTGAAGTTTTATACCACAAACCTCTGAAAACTAGAAATGTGTCATCATGCCACGGATGCCCCCGCATGCAGCCAAAATTTCAAATGTTATAATATTTAGTTCCAAATTTGTTTGCACAAATTATTTTTTTCATTCTATGTTCAAAGCCCTTAAAACTTTTCAATGTTAACACAAACCATTTTTATACAATGTTTAAGGCACTGAAATTATTCAGTCTTAACCTTTTGAAAATAGCATATTGCATATTTGTAGCCAAAATAATGGCTATATACATTTCCAACAAAAGTATGAGTGCTGAAACTGAAAGTTTCAAAATTTTTTCCAACATTCAGGAAAGATAAGTTTGTCCAAAATCATTGAACAACGACCAAATTCCAACTTAAACTGCTTATTCCTAAGATGTATCTATATTATTTTCAAAGTGAAAGGGACATAACTCTGCCAAAAAAATCATCGAACCATTACCAAATTCCATCTTGACCTGCGCATTCCTTTGACATATCCATATGTCAATTTTGAGTTGAATATGTAACACTGTTGGGTTGATAATGAACAGAAACTGTAAATTTCATATCATTTTCAAAGTGAAAGGGGCATTACTCTGCCAAAAATCATTGAACCATGACCAAATTCGAACTTGGCCTGCGCATTCCAAAAATATATCCATATGTCAAATTTGAGTTGAATGTGTAATACTGTTGGGGAGATAATAAACGGAAACTGAAAATTTCATATTATTTTTAAAGTGAAAGGGGCATAACTCTGCCAAAAATCATCGAACCATGACCAAATTTGAACTTGACCTGCGCATTCCTTTGACATATCCATATGTCAAGTTTGAGTTGAATGTGATGTACCATTGGGGAGTTAATGAACGGAAACTGAAATTTTCATATTATTTTCAATGTAAAAGGGGCATTACTCTGCCAAAAATCATCAAACCATGACCAAATTTGAACTTGACCTGTATTTTCTCATGACATATCCATATGTCAAGTTTGAGTTGAATGTGTTGTACCGTTGGGGAGATAATGAACGGAAACTGAAAATTTCATATTATTTTCAAAGTAAAAGGGGCATAACTCTGCCAAAAATCATCGAACCATAACCAAATTTGAACTTGACCTGTATTTTCTCATGGCATATCCATATGTCAAGTTTGAGTTGAAAGTGTTGTACCGTTGGGGAGATAATGGACGGAAACTGAAAATTTCATATTATTTTCAAAGTAAAAGGGGCATAACTCTGCCAAAAATCATCGAACCATGACCAATTTCAAACTTGACCTGTATTTTCTCATGACATATCTATATCTCAAATTTGAGTTCAATATGTGCAACGGTTATTAAGATAATGAACGGAAACTGATGATGACGGAAGGACAGAAGGACGGAATGACGGAATTACGGAATGACGGAATGACGGAACAGGGTAACACTATAATTATGCCCTTGCCATTATATGGCGGGGGCATAAAAATGATAACACAACGTCTTACAAAAATTAAACAAGAGGGCCATGATGGCCCTGGGGTCGCTCACCTGAACATAGGCCCCCAGGGCCGGGCCAGTTTAAACCAAAGGGCTTTTATTTGAACAAACTTGGAAGACACCCATTAAAAGATATTTCATGATGTTAAGTTTTTACTATACACAAATAATGAATAACAATGACTTTTGTCCCCTCCCCCCTCTCCCTGGGGCGGGGCCAATTTTGACCCAAGGGCTTTTATTTGAACAAACTTGGTAAACATCCATTAGAACATGTTTCATGCTAAATATCTTAGCTCTAGCTCTTTTGGTTCTTTAATAGAAGATTTTTAACTTTTTACTCTATGTATATAGGGAAAATCAATAACCCCTGGGACAGGGCCAATTTTGACCCCACGGCTTTTATTTGAACAAATTTGGTAGACACCCATTAGAATATTGTTCATGCTAAATATCTTAGCTCTAGCTCTTTAAAAGAATTTTTTTTAAGTTTTTACTATATGCATATAGGGAAAATCAATGACCCCCTGGGGCGGGGCCAATTTTGACCCCAGGCCTTTGGCCTTTTATTTGAACAAACTTGGTAGACACTGATAAGAAGATGTTTCATGCTTAATATCTTAGCTCTAGCTCTTTGGGTTCTTTAAGAGAAGATTTTTTTGAGTTTTTACCATATGCACATAGGGAAAATCAATGACCCCCTGGGGCTGGCCAATTTTGACCCAAGGGCTTTTATTTGAACAAACTTGGTAGACATCCATTAGAACATGTTTTACGCCAAATATCTAAGCTCTAGCTCTTTGGGTTTTTTAGAAGAAGACTTTTTAGCTCACCTGTCACAAAGTGACAGGGTGAGCTTTTGTGATCGCTTTTCGTCCGGCGTCCGTCGTCCGTCCGTCGTCCGTCCGTCGTCTGTAAACTTTTACTTTAAATGACATCTTCTCATAAACCACAAGGCCAATTTCATCCAAACTTCACAGGAATGTTCCTTTGGTGGTCACCTTTAAAAATTGTTCAAAGAATTTAATTCCATGCAGAACTCTGGTTGCCATGGCAACCGAAAGAAAAAACTTTAAATATCTTCTTTTAAAAAACCATAAGAGCTAGAGCTTAGATATTTGGCATGAAACATCTTCTAGTGAGTGTCTACCAAGTTTGTTCAAATAAAAGCCCTGGGGTCAAAATTGGCCCCGCCCCGGGGGGGTCATTGATTTTCCCTATATGCATATAGTGAAAACTTAAAAAATCTTCTTTTAAAGAACTCAAAGAGCTATGGCTAAGATATTGAGCATCAAACATGTTCTAATAGGTGTCTATCAAGTTTGTTCAAAGAAAAGCCCTGGGGTCAAAATTGGCCCCGCCCCAGGGGGTCATTTGATTTTCCCTATATGCATATAGTAAAAACTTAAAAAATCTTCTTTTAAAGAACCAAAAGAGTTAGAGCTAAGATATTTAGCATGAAACATGTTCTAATAAGTGTCTACCAAGTTTGTTCAAATAAAAGCCCTGGGGTCAAAATTGACCCCGCCCGGGGGGCTCATTGATTTTTCCCTATATATGCATATAGTAAAAACTTAAAAATCTTCTTTTAAAGAACTCAAAGAGCTATGGTTAAGATATTTAGCATCAAACATGTTCTAATAGGTTGTCTACCAAGTTTGTTCAAATAAAAGCCCTGGGTCAAAATTGGCCCCGCCCCGGGGTCATAGATTTTCCTTATATGTGTATAGCAAAAAACTTAAAAAATCTTTTTTGAAAAAACCCAAATAGCTAGAGTTAAGATATTAAGCATGAAACATCTTTTAGTGAGTGTCTACAAAGTTGTTCAAATAAAAAGACCTGGGGTCAAAATTGGCCCTGCCCCGGGGTCATTGATTTTCCTTATATGTGTATAGCAAAAACTTAAAATCTTCTTTGAAAAAACCCAAATAGCTAGAGTTTAGATATTAAGCATGAAACATATTCTAGTAAGTGTCTACAAAGTTTGTTCAAATAAAAACCCTGGGGTCATAACTGGCCCGGCCCCAGGCGTGTCATTGTTTTAACTATATGTGTATAGTAAAAACTTTAAAAAAGTCTTCTTTTAAATAGCCCAATGAGCTAGAGCTTAGATGTTTAGCATGAAACATTTTCTTATGGGTGTCTACCAAGTTTGTGCAAATAAAAGCCCTTTTGGTTAAATTGGCCCTGCAATGTTTTGGGGGGGGGGGGGGGGGGTTGGGGCGACCTATAACAGGTGAGCGACCTCAGGGGCCATCATGGCCCTCTTGTTTAAGTTTTTTACTATATGCATATAGGGAAAATCAATGACCCCCTGGGGCGGGGCCAATTTTGACCCCAGGGCTTTTATTTGAACAATCTTGGTAGACACTTATTAGAAGATGTTTCATGCTTAATATCTTAGGTCTAGCTCTTTGGGTTCTTTAAAAGAAGATTTTTTTAAGTTTTTACTATATGCATATAGGAAAAATCAATGACCCCCTGGGGCGGGGCCAATTTTGACCCCAGGGCTTTTATTTGAACAATCTTGGTAGACACTTATTAGAAGATGTTTCATGCTTTATATCTTAGGTCTAGCTCTTTTGGTTCTTTAAAAGAAGATTTTTTTAGTTTTTTCTATATGCATATAGGGAAAATCAATGACCCCCTGGGGCGGGGCCAATTTTGACCCCAGGGCTTTTATTTGAACAAACTTGGTTAGACATCCATTAGAACATATTAAATGCCAAATATCTAAGCTCTAGCTCTTTGGGTTTTTTAGAAGAAGATTTTTTTAAGTTTTTACTATATGCATATAAGGAAAATCAATGACCCCCTGGGGCGGGGCCAATTTTGACCCCAGGGCTTTTATTTGAACAATCTTGGTAGACACTCATTAGAAGATGTTGCATGCTTAATATCTTAGGTCTAGCTCTTTGGGTTCTTTAAAAGAAGATTTTTTTAAGTTTTTACTATATGCATATAGGGAAAATCAATGACCCCCTGGGGC